GCACTTTCAAATGTTTTTTTTTTATATCAAATACTGCAGTCGCATGCATATCCTAAGTATCCCTTTTATACTAAGCTATGGGAACAAGAATTGGGACATACCATCTCACTAGATGAATGGAATAAAGCTTTTGATCTAACCTTTAAAACAATTAACTCAAGCAAAATACAAGAGCGGAATTGTATAATTATAACTAGGTGGCAATATTATACAGATGGAGTCAACAGATTACGTAAAGAATGTTGGAGATGTGGAGGTAAAGAAGGGAATGTGCTACATGTATGGGGGGCATGTGAACTGATTAGGCCCTTTTGGGAAATGGTATTTAAGATAGGGAATCGGCTAATGGGAGTAAAATGGGCAGAAATACTGGAAGTGTCCTTACTAACGATAATTCCGGGAACAATAAAAAAGGCAATGAAGTCCCTTTTCCAACACCTGTTACATATAGCCAGGGCATTGATACCCAGATACTGGGAGTCTACAGTGGTACCACAGACTCGGGAATGGGTATCTGAATTGAACCATATGATGAGAATGAAGGAACTCACATTAAACTTAGAAGATCGAAATCGAGAATTTGTTGGAGTATGGAAACCATGGATAGAGTTTATAGCCTCTAGAGTTTATAGCCTCGAAATCGAGAATTTGTTGGAGTATGGAAACCATGGATAGAGTTTATAGCCTCTAGAGTTTATAGCCTCGAAATCGAGAATTTGTTGGAGTATGGAAACCCTGGATAGAGTTTATAGCCTCTAGAGTTTATAGCCTCGAAATCGAGAATTTGTTGGAGTATGGAAACCCTGGATAGAGTTTATAGCCTCTACAGAATTTCAAGACTTGATATAGATAAGGTAAATGAGAGTGAAATTGATATCTTAGAAAAAGAAAAGAAAGGGAAATCCTCCATCTGGCCAGAGGTACATTGTTTTATTTTCTCTTTCTTTCTTTTGTTGTTTTTTTTTCCCATATGAGGGGAAGGTGAATGGATGGGGTGGAGAATGTGTTTGGAAAGGTAATATAACGGAAAATGAGGCGGGTGAAGATTATAATATTGAGCTGCGACAATGCAACCTAGCTGGCTTTTTAATAATCTTCTCTGCTCTGTCTTATATGACTATTGAAATGAGAGACAAGAACATTGGCATCAAGGAATTTGAAATGTAAATATAATTTGCATGTTTATAAAAACATAATAAAGAGATCTTAAAAAAAAAAAGTTATATTTTAAAAAGAGAGACTTATAGAGGACAGCCTGCAAGAATCAGAGAAGACAGACAGGATCAGCCACTTAAAATGGGAAGTGATGTCACAGGAAAGTCAAAGACCACAGAACGCAAAGTAATGCAACACAACAACGCATTCACAACACAGCGCCAACACATCCTAATGCACTGGAATGACGCACATTAATGCACTTCAGTGCAGGTAGCGTTGTAACACTTGCGGTGTGGTGTGAACCTGTCCTTAAAGTGATTGTATGTTTGTAAACCCCAACAATTAACTTCTCCTATTTGGAGGTTTTTAGTGGGTTTTGGGCATTGTTCATTTGTAGTTTTAAAGAGTTCCCCAGGCAGGCAGCAACTAAAATCAGCCTGAAGTGGAACTCCTACTGTTTTAGTTTTTTTTAGTAATTCAAGAGGCCAAAGTCAGAGGTGGGGGCTGACAAACAGTAATATATTCTGCTTTGGAACAGAAAAGCTTAATAGAGTATGAACTATTAATATTAGGTAAGCCTGTAAAGAGACAAATTAGCAATTCCAGCATGGTGCAACCTATGTCTGTGCCTCTTCGCTATCTCCAGAATCATATTTGTGATGATTTTTGGTAGATGTAGCCTACTGGTAAAAAATAAAGATCCTGTATGCATTCTCGGTGTTTGGAAACCGCCTGTCTACAAGCAGCTTGGTCTCTCTGTGGCCAGGACGAGAATACAGACTACAAGGCTGTTCACCTGCCTATTACTCAGCAATGCTGTTTGTTTGGTAGAGGCTAAGCGACCGGTGCCACAACTTTGAGCTTTTATTGCTCTATTTGTGCAAATAAACTTTTTGGTTGCCTATAACGGGCTAATAAAAACAACCAATTCTCTAGGTTTTGGTGGATGCAATATTCCTACCAGTGGGCCCAATCCTTTCTACTGTGGAGCAAAGGAACGGCCCAAAGTAGCCAACAGGTCCTATTGTTACTGGTCCTACCACTACAGAAGTACTCTACTTGAATAAAGCAGACCTAGCCATGTAACATTCACAGGGAAAAGAGCCTGCTGCAAGAGATGTCTCAGATTTTCTCGTCCGCTTTCCTGGATGAAATTTTAGTTTTGTCTGGCCCATTGTATCTGTAGCGCGCGGTTATGGATCGTTAAATGAAGGACAGCTTGAGACGGTAATTGTGCGCAATGCCAGCCTAGTTCAAGAGGTCATTCAAGTTCCAAAGAAAGCATTGATTTATTTTAATAATTAAAAGCAGGAAGAGAAAACCTTTGCCAGATGATTTTTGACACTCGTCATCCGCTCGCAAATTGGAGCGAAAGAAAAACTTTTTTTTGTGTCTCTGAGACTTAAAGGAATCTAGTAAAAGTAAAACACTTGGATTTAACTTGTAGAGGTTTTAATAATAATAATAATAAAAAAAAAAAATGCTGAAATAATATTGTCCAGCAAAGTTCACCTCCTTCTAGAGTCCCCCCGTAACATAGTTTTATTACCTGTTAATCCTGCAAGTAGAGATGTTATTTTTGATCTCCCTGTAATAGGCCAAGCTGTTCAGCAAAAGGGTCAGTTGCAGGAAGTCTCAGTCTAAGCTGCAAAAGGTCAGAGCATCAGTCAATCAACCAGCAAGGGGCATCGAATGCAGTGGATTGGATGGAAGCAAGGTGACCACTGTCCTGCAGCTTTGGGAGCGGGTGGTCACCCTATTGGTATTAAGCCTCAGAGATCAGATATATATTATAGCTATTTATGCAGCGTTGGTATATGGTTTTACATACACTTGAATCTGAGCTCTATAAAAACACATGGCACCCTATGAGGCCCGGTGCAGACCTGAGCGATCCGGATGCATGTTCCAGGATCACAAGGTTCTGCACAATTGCAGACGGCGATTGCCCGCGGCCCCATTGACTGCAGTGGGGTACATCCGTGCGGCAATTGCAGAGAAAAGGTACATGTAGCTTTTTTTTTTTTTTTTCTTTTTGCGATACACGACGCGCAGCTGTTTTAGCTGCAATCGTGTTCGGATGCACAGGCGGAATGGCGGCGCGACTGGGCTGCCATTAGAAGATAATGGCACCCACAGCGCAACTGACGACTGGGTGACATTTTCACAACCTCTTATGGATTCTGGGGAGTGTTGCAGATAGTTGTGCATCACGTGGGTGTGTATGTATGTCCTGTCCTGTATGTTATAATTTGATCTGTTTAGAGAACCACTACAGTTAAAAAAAAATATTGCTGTAGAAATTTATTTTCTTTGTTCTTCATTATATTCACAGCTGAGGCTCATGTTGCCCCTTCAGATTTGCATAAATGCCCTTAAATTCTATGTCACTTTCAGAGAAGTGTTAACAGAGCCTTTTGAAAGAACTACCTCTCCCACCCACTCACCTTTGCTGTGTATGCTGACTCCGATCGTTGTGATAGCGAAATATATCCCTTGCTGAGACCTCTATGCCTGGCCTGTATAAGCAGATATACTCACTGCGGACAATCCTCGTCAGATAGCTGAACTCGTCAATACCGATTCATTCAAAAGAGGTGTTTATTCTTTAACATCAGGATTACAGCAGATGATAGGAACAGCAGTTGAACGGTTATAGTATTGTGCGGTCAGAAAATGATGCCTTTCTTACGTTCTGTGCAGATTACATGTGTGTCCTTGTTACATGTGGCTTCTAACCGTGGCCATGACACAGGAAGTACTGCACACAGGAAGAAGGAAGGGGCGTACACTAGGGGGAAATACAGAAAACATGTTTGTTACAACAAAAGGCCACTAGATGGCAGCATAGGATAACACATGGATTTAGCTATGAGAAAATAGTTAGGCAAAACACACTATGTAAAACTTCTATCTATATTAACTTCTATAACATATTCTATGCCCCATTGGGGCGGCACACTGTGTTTCCCCACCACTGCTTTGCTCTTTCGGAGCCGGCGGTAACTGGTGTTTCCGGGTATAGGGTTACATATGACCTCTTCCAAGGATGCAATCAACCCTAGGCAGCCAATTGCCAGTTCTGAAAACTGTTGGAAAATATGGGGGAGGACATCATCAATCCTGTGTAAGCTACCACAATAAACTTACACCGGGTTTGGACTGCAGCTCCAATGGGGGAGTACAGTGAAAGTGAGTAAAATTGCATAGGACGTGGTTCTCTTAACAGACAGGGGGCAAGTGAAACTTTTTAAAGCTTTGGGAGTACTTTTAGAAACTACCAGGACACTTAATTCACTACGCTAGAACAATCATTGTTTGCAATGTAATGAAAGCCAAAATAAGTGTACCTGAAGTTCTCTGCAGTCCATAACAGAGTAGTCACTATGTTGCCCAGAAGAAGGGACCCTGCTTGGCCCCGAAACGTCGGCTGCATGACGCATGTGACAATTCAATAAAATAAGTGCTTTACTTCTTGCACGTATCCTTGAGTGCTGATGACTTCTGTTATGGGCTGCATCTCGCACTGCGCCTTCCGTGTTGTCACTTCAAGCACCAATCTCCCTTTCTAAGGTCTATATTCTGTATGGTGTGCAGGTGACTTCTTGATATTTGAAGTTCTCCGCAGATTTTTCTGTCTGATCATTGTGGATTCAGCGGAAAACAGGAAACAGGTTTGTTAATAGCTACTGTTTACTGGGTAGATGACTGTGCTGCCCTGCCTTCAGTATCAAAATGATTTTTTTAAAAACTATGGTGTTTTAAAGTGCAAGCTCCACACTGAAACTGAGACACGATGGGCCTTGTGTTAAGCTGTTTTGTTTCTTTTCTTTTGTGTCTAGGGTGAGGATGTCAATCGGACACTAGATGGTGGTCGCAAGCCTCTACATTATGCAGCAGACTGTGGACAAGAAGAAATACTGGAATATCTCCTGTCAAAGGGAGCTGATATCAATGTAAGTCACTTGTGTGACCTTTTTTTTTCCCGCAGGCAGGCAGCTCATTGTTCTTAAAATCACTTTTTTTTAAAAAAAGATCTTAAGGTCGCTTTGATATCAAGGGTTCTTGCTCTTCTCCTGCAGTGACAGTGTCAGGTTCTTACTGCTGAATGAGTATTGTTCAGTGCAGAGTAGTATTGTGAACCTAGGCTGCTGATGATCCATCCCCAGGGGGCAGGTCCATCATCAAAGCCTGGGCTCAGAGGAAGTGGGTTAAATGACTGGCCAGGAAGACTGTGGACATTTAATGACAGAAATGTAGCGGCAGCTCCAGTTTAAACAGCTGGCCTCTTGATACTTATATTAAAAAGTTTTACTTTAGTATATTTCCTATTAAACAAGGGACAAGACAGAGCACCTCCATAGTGTAAAAGTGTAATTTATTTGTACAACACGCAAATAAAAATGTACTTACAGGAAAGTCGGTGGTTAAAAGCATACAAATGGTGATGAAGTATAAAATCTCTAGCAGCGGAAGTCTGAAGGAGTACAGCACATCAGCATCCTCTGCCCCCTTGAGTTCTAAAGGTCTACGCGTTTCAGGGGCATGCCCCCTTCATCAGAACCTCAGGGAACTCTCCTGTATCCTGCTCTTTTAAATACAAGGGTGACCAATCGCAGGATTTTTAGCAGATCACATGGTGGTGTTTAAACCAACCTCAGGTATTTCCTATTAAGCCTAAATATTTGCGTGTGATTTGTAATAACAGGATAATGCAACTAGAAATACTAGAAGAATAATAAAAAGAAAGGGTGTTTGTTTATTTTAAAATGCAACTATGGTGCTTATTTATAAAATAAATATATAAATAATATATATATATTTTCTTTTACTTTTATTAGTTCAAGTGCCCGTTTCAACTGCCTGACCTGTATGAGACCAACACTCTAATTGCATCCCCTGGCTCCCACTGCAGTGTCAGTAGGACAGGCAGTCCATCCTGTAACTTCCTCTAGAGTGCACTGCCTGCCCTACTGATGCTACATGGAGTCCCAGAGGACGTAAACACTGAGCTTACCTCACACGGGTTTTGTGTCCTGGCTGTTCCCTCTGCAAGCGACATCGCGCAGGGAAATGTTAATCTACAGATTGTGGGCAAGAAGGGGTTATTAACTGACTCTTTATAGAAATAAATGATATTTACACATTGATGGTTTATTTTCATCAAGCTGAGCACACAAATTAATTTATTTAAAATAACACAAGAAGGCCGCCGCTTCTTCAGAAAAATGTTTTTTACGCTTATTTTATAATGCAGTTTAAGTTGAACCAACCAGCAGGGTTGCTTTTCTGGAATTCAGTAAAAAGGTTTTGCAATGTGATTGCCTGCAGCCCTTTGAAGACCTGTTGAGGAGCCACTACATAGTGATGCTATATGTTTAAAAAAAAAAAAAAAACAGTGCATGCGAGATTGAAAAGCCGGAGGAGCATCTTTTGAGCTTTCTATGCAGTCTGTTAAAGCTGTGCTCCTTAAAGTGCTCTCCCACAATGTCCTGCAGAGCCGCGCATTCCTGTAAGCTTTGCCAGGCATCAAAAGGGCAGCCCACTTGACAGGCCTGATTGCAGAGACGCTCCCCGAGAAGCAAGGTCTTTAGCTCACCTGCCAGTCAGTAGATGAGAGTAATCTCTCGGGGTAGGCCCTTTTAGGTAGGTACTTTTCATATCCTGTCAGTGCCGTGATCACTTCATGTGTGAGGCTCGTTCTAGCTGTAGGCAAGGTCTTGGCCCTTGGCTTCCTCGGAGACCTGCTGAACAAACACTTCCAAAACTCACTGATATTTCTTACTATGGTAAAATAAAAATAATTGCCGTTTTTTGTTCTGCTAAGTAGAATGTTATTTCATTTCTTGCCATTAGAACTTTGATTCTAATATCTTTATTTGGAAAAGTATCTGTATTCACCTAACCACTGGATACTGCTCCGGTCTGATTCAGGTCATATGCCAAGAATCCATTCGTATTATTCCTCAACGTTGGTTTAACATTCACCGACTGGAAGTTACTCGGCTTACTGACTAGCTGTTGCTGTGATAACCTGTTGTGCAGATTGTCATTAATGTATATGTGATTATATTTTTTTTAATAGGCACCAGATAAACATGGAATCACTCCTCTTCTGTCTGCCACCTACGAAGGACATATTAAATGCGCCAAGCTACTCCTGGAAAGGGTGAGGATAATATTTGCATATCTTATTTTGGTTCTTTTTCATACATTACTTCCCCTTATCATTGTCTGTTGATTACTGCTCTGGATCTTTTGAAAATTGATTTTTTGCATGTTGTTGTTTTTTTTTTTTTTGAAAACCAGACTTCTAAGATGCTAACAAGTATGACAACCGAAGAGCTCAGTCCTAGAAGCTAGTCTTGGTTAATGCATTTATAACCAGCCTTAAAGCCCTTTTACACTTTTACTCTTAAAAACCGCTGCATTTTTAGTGGATCTTTTACAGCTTTACATAGTGTTTTTGCTGTTTTTCATGTATTTTAATATGAATAATTTATATGCATGTTCCCAGGGGGGGCAGGGAACTGCATTTTCATGTGCAACTGTATGTGCAAAGGGATCCTGTGGTTTGCTCATGCAAGGCAAAACAACAGGTTAAAGTAGTATTAAACTCTCAAAATGTTTTTTTTCTTCAATAATGAGTCCAGATCAAACAAATATACATTGCCCAGCAAAGCACTTAGTCGTCATGTTTCCAAACGGCTCCAACTCTCTCAGCTCCACTTCTCTGAACCTCCTATCCAGTACAAGATCACAAGTGACAGAGCAATCTCCAACAACTGTTCATCTAATAGCTTGGAGAAGGGGGAAGGGGAATGCCTTGCTGTTCCTGTTTGTTTGTGGAGACACACAGGTTGCTGGTGCACACACGGATGTCTCCATCGGACCCTGCAAGGGAAAGGAGCCACCCTAATACAGGATATCAGGGCCAGTGCTCAGGGGACCAGCTGATTCTGCAGGAAACTAAAACGTTTAAACATCAAGAAGCACCAGCCATTGTAAGTGATGTAATCAGCGCTTGAAAAACTTTGGATTTTAATATCACTTTAAGGTAGGGCTAGCAAAACTTTGGCCCTCCAGCTGTGGTGAAACTACAAATCCCATGATGCATCTCTCTTCTGGAGTCATGTCTGTGGCTGTGAGAATCTTGCAATGCCTCATGAGATTTGTAGTTCCACCACAGCTGGAGGGCCGGAGGTTTGCTTCCCCTGCTTTAAGGTCTGTCTAAAGCAGGGGTAGCCAAACTCCGGTACTCCAGATGTAGTGGAACTACAAATCCCATGAGGCATTGCAAGATTATTATCTCAGCCACAGACATGACATGACACAAACGCACAAGAGATGCATCATGGGATTTGTAGTTTCACCACAGCTGGAGGGCCGGAGTTTGGCTCGCCTGGTCTAAAGCCTCAATGACAGTGTAAACAATTCCCGAATTCAGTTACTATGCAGTGCTCACTCCTCAAAAGTTTAGCAAAAGAAAAAAAAATCTTGCTTTACCTCTCCTGAGTGAGCTAAATCCTTTCATGCCTCTCACACTCCCCCTCCCAGAAACTCCAGTTCAGACATCAGTGGATGTAGTATTCAGTCATCCTCAAACTCCTGGTAGACACCTCAGGGGCTCTTCAAGGTTGTCTTGATCTTCTGTCCCAGGGACCGGTTAAACCCCTCCTGCTTCATGGTCACTGGCTTTGATGGCATGGATGTTTCTGCCCAGGTCCTAAGAGATGGGCCCTTTTCTGGTTTAGTAATTCCAATGCTCCTAAGAGCTAGCAAGTCCTTGTCCCACAACGTCTACCATGACACTTGGCAAAACAAACTTTGCCTGATACGAGATAAAAAGCCAGGAGAGTCATAGAGAGTGAGACTACGGGGGACCAATTACACAGGTGGAGGGAGCCTACAGGAGAGAGGAAAAAGTTATTATACAGCAATGAATTATTAACGCTTTCAGTGGGGGGTTGGGAGCGGGGTGGGGGGCACTCTAAGGGTATCTTAGAAACAGATTTTACAGTAAGCACAAAACATTTTGCCATTGGAATTCACGAGGTGAAACTTCTTAATATGCTCACATTCGTTCCATAACCTCAGGCCTCATTCACACTTCCACATTTATGATGCATTTAGATGCATGGTCATGACACACGCTTTACTGACAAGATTTCCCACTATAACAGTGAGCCCAGCTCTCATCTATGTGCTTAAAAATGCAACATTAAGAGAAGGAAAAAAAAAAGTCCTACATTCTCTTTTCGAGTTTGTTCCAAGTACACCAAGTGAGTCTTGTAGGCTGCCATTGCTAAACTATCCTTTTCGGCATGTTAGCTCCCTGGCTGTCATTCTGATTGTCTGCAGTGCTTTTTAAGCCACTTACCTGGAACCGGCATAGAGATAAGGAATTCAGCCGCAGTTTTGCAGCATGCTTGTTCTGGGTCGGTGAATCAAAAGTATTGAAGCCAGACACAGCCAGGCACTTAGGTTTTCACCCAGTTCTGAGTTTTTCTCTACTGCAGTCCAGTAAGACTTACAGGTCTTGTCCCTCCCCAGCCTGTGACTGGACAATGAAAAGAGAAACGGCAGACTGATGAGCTTACTTCTCTGCTCTCTGCCTATATGCATGGTCACGGCACAGATTGGTTTCTTCTACTACTTCTCCCTTTCCCAGTCTGAGCCTTGCTGTACACAGACTGCAAGAGGCTGAAACCAGTTCAAATTCAGGTACTTTCATGGATTGTATTTAAAGGAAATGCGATATGGTTATGATTGTGGAGCTGCATTCATTTGTCTTTTATGTTTGCCCAGATTTCATCTCTAAATGCATGGACTTGGCTCATTGAAATAGATGTAAATGCAGGTCAGATGTAAATGCCTGTGCATCTGTCTTACATTCTCCATGCATTTAAATTCATAAATAGTGGTGAGGCTGGGCTTGGTGCCACCTCCAAACTCTCACCGCCGCCCCCTCCTCCCAATCAGTTGTGGGGAAGTGTATTCCCCCCCCAGCAATTATACTTCACAAAGTTGTAGGGAATGCCCCACCACAGATTGGGTCAGGAGGAGGGGGTGGCGGTCAGAGTTTTGAGCTGAACAAAATTTACACCAAGTCCAGTCTCATCTCTGTTTTGCTTATTGCGACCGAACGCTCAGGTGTGGAACAGGAGCCATTGGAATGAATGGGACTGTTATCGTGAAGCATTTTCTTGCAGTTGCTCAGTTGCAACAATACGCGAAGTGTGAACCAAACATAAGACGACCAGATCAGGGGGTGCTCATTGCACCTCTGTGGGTTCGCTATTTGATTCTGCTTGAGACTCTGTCTGCCCTATGCACCATCCAGGTTTGTAATAACCAGATCATAGTTGTCTAATCATTGCGCTCTATCTGTTGTGAGTGCATTGGCTTGATAAAGGTGCTGCGCTCTTTTCTTATCAGACTATAACAATTTTAAATAGATTTAATCCATGACTTGAACACAGCTGCTACAGAGTAGATCAGGTTTCCACTTCAGCCCATTCCTTTCATATACTGTAAGTGGCTTTGACATTTCCATCCAATCTAATTTAAATGTCGTCTGAGACATCTTTCCTGTGCAGCCCAGTGAGTGCGCCCAGAGTACTTCTAGGTTGCTGAAGTTAAAAGCAGCCATATGAAACCGAAATCCCCGTGTGCCCTCCTATTGAAATGAAGGAACTTAATCAGCTTGGGCAGCTGCAGAGAGTACTTTCCTCTGTTGTCCGGCCGTCCCCACTATACAAAACACTTTGACCATGCTCTCGTTTCTTAGCATTTTTTTATTAATGAATGAAGATGAAAGTGTTCTGGAGGTCATTGGCACCCAGGTTTAGGGGGGAAAACATTCATTTATTCAGACTTTTTACCTTACTTGAGTTTTTTAATCAGACGAGTTTAATAGAATAAATATAAGAGTTGCAATGGCTGCCCTTGCTGAATCTATACTAAATGGAGTGGAATGCTTCTCTGCTTGTAATTCTTAAATTGTGATTTCTGTACTGGAGGCACAAGCATTTTAAGCATATTAAAGTGGACCTTTACCCCCTTTCACTAAAAACCACTAAAGACATTTTATATTCTTTAGTTAAAGGAGAACTATGAGGCGAGTGAAAATCACTCATTCTCATAGTTCGAGCCGACATGTGACAATGAGACTGTCACACGTCGACTCAAAAAATCGGGAAGTGAGCGAACACATACCATCGCTCGCTCACTTCTCGATCATGTCCCTGCAGAGAGCCGTGACTGTTACGGCTCCCTGCAGGGATTCCCCCACTCCGATCCTCCAGCGCTGACTGGAGGAATGGACGGGGGAGAGGGCGGGTACAGCTGGCTCTGCCTTAATAGACAGAGCCAGCTGTCATTCACACAGCTGGGTGGATCTCGACAGCATTGTCGGAATCCATCCCGGCTGCAGCGGTCTCAGTATACTGCAAGCTGTAGCTCGCGATATATTGAGCTTTGGGTCACGGGAGGATGCTAATATATGTCCGCCTGTGACCCTTAAGAGAACTATGGGGAAAACACTTACCTCATAGTTCTCTTTTAAACTTATTTTTCATTTACTTACAAATAGAGTTCATCCACTTCCTGCTCCATTTTGGCACAGATGATGTAATATACCGAAGCATCCTGGGAAGGTTACATCAGCAGAGCATTGCCTGTAAATCTCATCTGTAATCTCATGAGATCTAAGGGAAAGGCATTATCCTCCTGTGGTCACATGTCCTAGTCACATGTGCCCAGAGTTCCAGGAAGCGAGGTGGAATAATGGCCACTGTCAGGAGACTGGAGAAGAAGAGATACATTTTGAGTTGGAAATTCTATGTGAATGGCCAACAAACTTAAAGCTTTGAGTTAAACAATTTGCGTAGCGTTGCTTTTTTTTTTTTTTGCAAGGTTTCTAAGTTGGCTACTCGTACTTGCTGTATATACAACAGCTCATGATTACAGCATGATGTTAAGATGGGTATATGTGTGTCTCTCCCTTTATCTCGCGCTCTCTCTCTCTCTCTCTCTCTCTCTCTCTCTCTCTCTGTCTGTCTCTCCTGCCAGCATACGTG